TGTCTTTTGCGCATTAGGTTATTGATCTTTTTCTTCTCAGTTTCTAGGAGCTCTTTACACACTAGATTAGCCTTTTGTCTTTGACAGGCATTATTACCACTATTATTTTCCCAATTGAGGCACAATACAATACCAACGATCAGCAATTTGAATGAGGACAGAGATCAAATTTCTTAGAATTACAGACTATGTAAACATGGAATTTGAATTTGTTTTCTAAAATGTAGGTTCAGACAGCTTAATTAAGAAGCTTCCTTACAAAAAGGAAAGCTCTTAATGGTTGGCTTTCTGAAGTGGAAAGAGCAAATAGTATCGAAAAAGATTATGCCATGTATGTGCAACCATATCTGTGTATATACATGTAGGGAGTAGGGGAAGAAAGAATAGGAAGAGTGCAAAAGGCAATAAAAGGATTGAGTGAGGAAGAGGGATAAATGCAGAGAGACAAACATACGATAGAATAAGAAAAAAGGAGAGAGTTCCAGACCAAGCAAATATCTCTAACATCATTGACAAAATATAAAGATAATGAAGGGAGAATACTGCCATGCTATCCATAGTTCTTGATCCAAGCTAAATGGTGGGTATACCTTAACTACTTAATAAATAATTGATTACCTGTTATGTACAAGATGTAGTGTTAAAATCAAGGGGATTATAATTTACTTGAGAAAAGAAGACGTTTAACTGCAAAAAGGTAATAAATAAGTTTAAAAGTAGAGTAATACACTAAGATTATAGAACCATGAATAAGGTATTTGAAAAAAACTGAAAGAAAAACATTTTAAGTAGACAGGCCTAAAACCAAAACTACTTTGAACTAGATAGGTCTAAAAACAATTAAAAAAAAAAGCCAAATCTCTTGGCTTTTTTTGAAAATCAGTGCTGCTACCAGATATTTTACATACGTTTTCATAAGGTGAACAATTCAAAAGTCCAGGGTGGTTGGGCTGAACATCCAAAATCAGCTTTTCAGACCTTGAGGGATTAAGGGCATAATAGGAATTTTCACTTGGACTAACACTAGAGAAAAAAGAAAAAACATATTTCAGTTCTTGGGTAGTTCACTCACTATAAATTGCTATACATTCATAAGAAAATAGAAAGAAAACCTGAAATGCTGCTAAGTAGTTCACAGTTATGAATGTAAGGCAATGTTTCCACTAAATTTTAAATATATCATAATTACTTTTAAACTAGCAATCTCTGTATTTCTAGAGCCTCTATGCTAAGATTACTTAGTATTCAAAAAACAGTGATAATAAAAAATTAATAAAGCCCAAAATATATATTTTACACTGAAAGTGTTTTTAATATGTAAATGCTTCTCTAATATTCCTATTTTTCCCTAAACTGAAAGTTACATTAAAAAGTACAAGAAAATTATTCCTTATTCCAGAGGCACATTAGAAACAATATATAATAATGAAATCCACACATTTTATATTTATATATTTAAGGCACACTGAATTCTATATCTTATTTTACCTACTTACCTGGATAACTCTTCCCCTAAACTCTTCAAACTCCATTCTGTTATCTTCAGTTCATGTCTTAAGGAAGCAACATTTGCAAGCAAACTTTCTTCTTCATTGTCTTTATTATAGTAGTCTGATGAACTAGATTCCATTTCTTAAAAAAAGAAATGAATTTTTTGGTACTTTGCATGAAAGATTCTGTAGTTTCAGTCAAAATACACGAATAGAATTTAACTCATTAGTTTTCTATTTCAAATGTCAAATCTTTCATGGCAGTTAAAAACAAAACAAAAAAATCAATAATAATGAATTTATCTATAGTGTAAAGCTACAAAGGAAAGTTCAGTACAATTTCAATGAATGAATTTTTCATTTTCGCCAGGGTCTAGTTATTACAGTTCCCCTTTTCTAAGCATACCTGATCTTCCTAACAATTGTTTAAGTATTTTTATTCCATATTAAGGAAACTAAGAATCAGACAAAGTCACACAAACTGTAAATGGTGAAACCAAGATTTGAATCCAAGTCATTAGGATGCAAAGACCATTGTAGTTTTATTACTTATTACCTATCAATTTCAATATGAGGTGTTTGAACTTTCATAATCAGGTTACAAGCCCCGGACATCTGATAAAATGGTATCATTACAGTCATTCATATTTTCTTAGAAGGGAATTTATTACCAGATAAAAGTTATCTCCTCCTCCTATTCCCCATAGTTATAAAATTTAAAAAACACATATTTACAAGTCACAACCACAGAGCTCAAAATAACATTGCCAAGTCAACTCATAGAAATAAATGAAGTAAAGCTTTTGTTTCTTCAGTGGATGAGTATCTCTAGGATTATATGCGAATGTCTTTGCATATAAAAAATCATAATAAAGCATCACAATACTGTAATACAATAAAAAACTAAAGCTTTTTAATTGCCAATACTCCTGTAGAGCTTTATAAGCAATCCTAAAATTACATTCCTCTTTGAGATCCCATTTACCTTTTTCATTGCAGCATCTCTTTCATTGCCCTTCTTCTAATTCATATCCCATCCCAAATTCCAAAAGGTTAGGAGTCACGTGCATTACGTTCAGGACTTCAATATACTTAAGAGAAACTCAGTATTTTGAATGAATTAATGAACACTAAACTGTCCTTCCTTTCCTCATTCAGTTAGAATAGTATGCTACATTTATTCCCCACTCAAAAATTCTAAGAGGTAGGGAGGAAGATTAAAAAGCAAACTCTCACCTTATGGGAAGAAAGTGGCAGAAAATTAAATGAAATACTATGTCATCTCAATAGACAAGCTGGTCCTCTTTCCCATTTTGTTTCCACAAATTTGCTTCTGCTTAAGTGAGAAGACACTCTCAGACAAGTCAACAAATCAGGTCCACATACTGCCTTATCTATTCAACATCTCTAGCTCTCTGAAGGATGGTGAAGGAGAAAAGGGTAGAGAAAATTGGACAAATCCTAAAATGCGATTCAGTATCGTATATTTCATCTTTTTTTTTTTTTTTTTTTTTTTTTTTTAGCTGGAGTCTTGCTCTGTCGCCTAGGCTGGAGTGCGGTGGTGTGTCTCAGGTCACTGCAACCTCTGCCTCCCGGGTTCAAGCAATTCTCTGCCTCAGCCTCGAGAGTAGCTTGGATTACAGGGGCCCGCCACCATGCCTGGCCCTGTATATTTCATCTTAAATCAGGTTTTAGTTCAACATCTGTGTATTTTCATGTAAGAAATAACTCTCAAGTCAGGTGCAGTGGTTCACACCTATAATCCCTGCACTTTGGAAGGCCAAGGTGGGTGGATCACGAGGTCAGGAGTTAAAGACCATCCTAACATGGTGAAACCCTATCTCTACTAAAAAAAAATAGCAAAAATTAGCCGGACGTGGTGGGACGCGCTTGTAAACCCTACTCGGGGGACTGAGGCGGAAGAATCACTTGAACTGGAAGACGGACGCTGCAGTGAGCCGAGATTGCGCCACTGCACTCCAGCCTGGTGTCAGAGCAAAGCTCCATCTCCAAAATAAAATTAAAAAAAGAAATAAAAGAAATAACTCCCTAACTTTTCTGCAGTAGCAATGAATACATTGGATACTAAAATGTTTTCATTTTCCTAGTGGGTCATTTACTGTCAAATGATTGCCCTTCACTTCAGTTTACAGTAGTTACCCAAAAAAGGCTATCTTCACTGACTGTGCATACCTAGAAAAGCACATCATCCTACTCACCGACCCTGACAACATCATCTTTCGGCCCTAATTAACAATGTGTTTGTAGGTTTGCACATGCACACCCATCAAACGAAGGACAAGTGTTCTTTTATACCCTTTGTATGTGATACAATGGGCTGTAGTCGAAAAATATTCCTCATTCTGGGAAGAGGTCGTAAGTTTATAAGATAGTTTCCTGTCTCAAGATCGCTTAATTTGACACAGCTGATCCTACATTCAACTGAAAGAAGCGGGGCGGGGAAGGGGAGGGAATGACATCTTCCTTTTTTTTTTTTTTTAAATTTCTAGAGATACAGCTGATCCTACATTCGACTGAAAGAAGCGAGGGCAGGGAGTGAGGGCAGGCGTGACATCTTCCTTTTTTTTTTTTTTTTTTAATGTATAGAGATAAGAGTCTGGCCACGTTGCCCAGGCTGGCCTCGAACTCCTGGGCTCAAGCAATTTTCCCGTCTCGGTCTCCCAAAGTGATGATATAACAGGTGTGAGCCACTGCGCCTCCTATTTTTCATCAAATAAGATACAACCGTTCAAAGCAGCATGCTCAGCAAGCGCGAGGACCAGCCCCAGCTCATCCAAGATACTGGGAGGGAAAGGAACAAAACTCCCCCCGGTAGGCCGGCTTCCCCCCGCCAAGAGGCAGTCGCTCACCACCCAAGTCGTAGCTGGGGAGAGATCCCCAAGCGACGGCGCGCTTCGCACTGAAGTCTCCGTTAGGAAGCCTCGGACCCTCTCCCGGGCCCCTGCGCATGGAAGCCTCAGACACTCACTAGTCGGAGAGTCAGCGAACCGCAGCAGCACGAAGTTCGAACGGTCGCGGGAGCCGTTGGGACGCTCCAGCTCGGCCGCTGCCCTGCCTCGGCGCAGACTGCGTGAGGCGCAGCAGGAGGCGCAGGGCTTGCCGGGAATCGTGGTCGGCGAGCGCGTCAGAGCCAGCAAGCCGAGCCCACTCGGTACTACATTTCCCACAATTACTGCCATAATGCCCATTGGTGTGGGGGAAGCCATGGGAACCGGAGGCCGTCAGGAGGAGAGGCGGGAGCTGCTCACGCCAGGCTAGCGAGAGCAGAGACTAAGGAAGTGGCGGAACCGGACTGCCGGCCCCGCCTTAAGTCCCTACTTTGGAGGACTGCGCTTCTCTTTCGGAAGGAGTGTTGGCCGCAGCCGCCGCCACCTGGAGCTTCTTCAGACTCCAGGTTTCCCTATCAACCACGAGGAGTCCAAAAAGGAAACGCGGAGCGGAGACAACAGTACCCTACGCCTCTTTGAGCCCGAGATCGCCCCAGCAGTGATGGGCGACAGGATCTGGCTGTCCTTCCCCGTGCTCCTTCTGGCCGCTCTGCCTCCGGAGCTGCTGCCTGTGGCGACTGGTTTCACACCTTCCCTCGACAGCGACTTCACCTTTACCCTTCCCGCCGGCCAGAAAGAGTGTTTCTACCAGCCCATGCCCCTGAAGGCCTCGCTGGAGATCGAGTACCAAGTAAGTGCGGAGGATGAACCAGCCTCCTTCCTTTAACCCAGCTGCACTGTCACCTCTCACCCTTTTAGAAACTTCTGGTGGACTGCCCGGGTGATGAAGAAGCGAGGGCCGTCCGGGAAGCCGGCCAGCTCCGCGCAGGCGCGCGAGGCGAGGCGAGGCGAGGCGAGGCGACGCTCTCGCTAGGGCAGGGGACCCAGAACTTAGGCGGGACCTGGAATTAACGACCACCCGTCTTCTCCCCTTTCCTCCGGTCGGAAAGAGGCCAGAACTGGTGATGTCGGTGGCCTTTCTCTTTGTTTCCTAATTTGCCCATCGCTTTTCTTAGCCACTACACGCTCCGATACTGATAATTTCGCAATGCAGAACTGATACACGTTCTCCTTTATCATTGGACGGGGTGATGACACTTGTTTGAATCACTCCCACCCCTTTCACACAATTCCGGTTACAAATCTTCACTGTCTTTGCTTCGGTTAAGGATTTTTGAATTATGATCGTGTAATTATCACTAAGGATTTTGAAATTTTTTCGAAGAGGCTGTTGCTATATTTAATAATACATTTCCGTTTAAGTTATATATCCATTATTTTCGAAGGATCAAATCCTGTATTAAAACTTTATAACCTTTCTCTTCATTGAGCATTGTAAGCATTTGCCCGTGTCATTGTTTTCTTTTTAGTATCTGCATGATATTCTTTCTGGGAATTACCTTATTTTATGTAGTCATGCAAGTAGGGGTAATTTCTTAGAAGAAATCTTGTTCGTTCCACACAGCAAATTTCGATGTTTTCAGGTAGCAGTACAGGAAAAAAAAAAAAAGGCATAGATGTGTTTCAACTTTCAGTTTTTTAGAAGTTAATTATAATCAAATGTTAATTTTTTAAGTTGATGTCGGGGAATTTTTTTAAAAATACCAGGTACCGTCACATACAGAGCAAAATAAAAAGTCGTAGAATTTTTATCTGATGGAATTTTTATCCAATGGAACTTTAGGATTAAGTTGTATATAGATACATAAGATAAACATAGAGAATAAAATATGTAAAATCACATAGTGAGCAAAACTGAGGCTAAAACTCAGTGTTTCTTGATTTCCAGTAAAGTTCAAAAGTTCAGCATTTACTGAACATTAACAAGTGCCAGGAGGGGTGGGAGATGAAGGAGGGTAGTGTACTAAAAGAGAAAGAAAGAGTTCCTCTTTTCAAAGAGTTTAATAAGGGTTTAAACTTTACCTGACTCATAAACAGGTGATTTCAATAAAGGATGGGTAAGTACCAGTAGAGGACGGTAACTTCTAAGGGTTTCAGAAGAGGATTCTTGGAGAAAATAAAATTTAATCCAGAAGATGCTTAAGTGAGACAAAAATGCAAGGAACAAGGGGCATTTCAGAAAAGGGAACAAAAAGACACATAGTTTGTAAAATACATATTTTAAGTGGGAATGGTTAGTGTGTAGTGGACACTACAAGTACTGAGGTTTTATTACACTTTAAGACATATAAAATCTAGGTGGGAAGTAGCAGAAAAGGACACCAGAGAGGCCAGAAGGCTGGGATCATGAAGCATGAATCATAGCCTTGTTTGCCATCTGAGTAGGTTTCCCCTAATTTTGTAAAAGTCACTGGATGCAGGATGAAAAGTGGGTTTAAGGAGAGCAAAATTAGAGTCAAGAAAACCAACCAGAGAGCTAGTGAAATGGTCTAGATAAGAAAACAATTTGTGTTAATTAAAAAAATCTTCAGTATTTACCTACAATTAGGGAGGATCTAGTTTAACTACTGATGTCTTATAGTTAAGAACACCAGCTCTTAACCTTAGCCTGGATTCAAATCTTGACTCTACCCACTTAAAACTTGGGTGATCTTCTCACTTGTAAGGTGAAGATAATAATTGTAACTACCTCATCGAGTGGATTTGGAAAAACATGAGTTAATAAATGCTCATATTCAGTGCAAAGTGGTCTATTTAAAAATGCTTATAGATCATCCCTGACACAGTAAATAAATAGTCAAGGAATGTTAGTTTTACATTTACACCTCTGTAGTTTCATGGCTTGGTTTAGCTTTATTCATTGCATCTTTAGTCACCCTTAAAGTGACTTTTTCCTTTTTTTTTTTTTTTGCGACAGTCTTACTCTGTCACCCAGGCTGGAGTGCAGTGGCTCACTGCAACCTTCATCTCCCGGGTTCAAGTGATTCTCCTGCCTCAGCCTCTCAAGTACTGGGATTACAGGCATGCACCACCACCCCCAGCTAATTTTTGTATTTTTAGTAGAGATGGGGTTTCTTTGTGTTGGCCAGCCTGGTCTGCAACTCCTGACCTCAAGTGATCTGCCGGCTTCAGCCTCCCAAAGTGCTGGGATGATAGGCGTGAGCCATCACACCTGGCTGGGACTATTCCTTTAAATCATTCTTCCTGAACAGTTTGTTTTGATTAAGGAAAGAGGTAAAGTCATTTAATGTCTGTAATCCTAGACAGTGTTGGCGAGATGTGTAGGGTGAAGATCATCTTCCACTCTAATTTTGCTGTCCCAACTTGTTTAATTTCCTGGTAACTATGTCCTACTGATTTTTGTTTTAAAGTTAGTTTTTAAAATATTATGGAATGGACAATCCAACTTTGTCCTTTGTTATCGTGACATACTGAAAATTTTACTGATTTCTTTTTAGGTTTTAGGAGAATACTTTTTGGATAATTGACTAGCCCCACATTATATTGATTTAGGCTCTTGAAAACTTTAATGCCAGTTCATGTATCTTATGAATCAAATAAATCATCCATTTAGAAATTTAAATCATTCTTGAGTGCTTGATATGTGTCAGCACTATCCAAGGGGCTAGGGATACAATGGTGAGTGAAAACATCAGTTGGGTACAGTGGCTCATGCCAGTAATCCCGACACAGCAAGGTGGGAGGATCACTCAAGCACAGGAGTTTCTGACCAGCCTGGGCAACATAGCAAAACCCCATCTCTGCCAAAAATAAAGTTAGCCAGGCATAGTAGCACGCATCTGTGGTTCCAGCTACCTGAGAAGCTGAGGCAGGAGGATCACTTGAGCCCAGGAGGTTGAGGCTATGGTGAGCTGTGATCATGCCACTGCACTCCAGCCTCAGTGACAAGAGTGAGATCCTGCCTCAAAACATATATATGTATATGTGTGTGCATGTGTGTGTATGTGTATGTATAGTCCATGCCCTCATACAATCAAGTATGGGGACAGACATTAATCAAATTATTACACAAATGCATGTCAAAGTATTACTCCAATAGGGGCTATGAAGTTAAGTTCCTAAGACTATGAGTGTGCTCAGTAGGAGGACTTCATTTTATCTGGAAATTGGAAGACATCCAGAAGTAGCGTTAAGATCTATAGAATTATCAGGCTTTCACTAGGCATAAGGGAGTGAGTGGAACAAGTCAATGAGTAAAAAAGAATAACACCTGGCAAGATGCTAAGGAAGAAGAGAGGAAGATACCTTTGAGGTGAAAGACAGGATACAGAGAGAGAAAAGTGGTACAAGTCTATTCTAGAGAAGTTAGTAGCAATAGCAACCAGATCTTGCTGGGCTTTTAGGTCCTTGTTAAGGATATGGGACTTTTGCAGAGACCAGTAAGAAGCCACTGAAGAGTTATAAGCAGGTTAACTTGATCTGTGTTTTTAAAAAGATTGTTTTGGCCACAAGATATTGAGCATCTCTGTACCACAGTTCTGTATACTTAGAAAATAACAATAATCACCCGCTCCCCACTACATATTATGAAGAATAAATATGCTAATACATGTAAAAGGAATGGTATCTAGCATCTAATAAGCACTCAAAAAATGTTAGCCAGAAAATATACCCTGAGCCTAGAACAACAATATCTTTTAAGGGCATAATAGGCACTTTAAAGTATATATTGAATGAGTGAACTAGATGTTTACCAAACTTGTAAAATTATCTGGGTGGGTTTTTGGGAGAACAGAGCTATATCAATGTTTTAAAATTTTTATTAGCCTTTTCATTTTTATATAGAGCCAAATTTCAATATTTTCTAGCAAACTGGCCATTTCATCTAATTTTTAAAATTTACTTGTATGATATACCTGATGCCATTTGGAATATCTCCTATTTCCACTTTATCTGTGGGTATATATCCCTGATATTATATGTATAAAATAGATAGGACTATTTTATTGATGTTTGGGAAAAAAAGGCTTTTGAGTATTTATTTTTAGTTTTATATATATATATATATATACATACACACACATCTACTATATACACACATTTTATATATACATAATATATAAAATATTCATATACATATTTTATATATAAATAAAAAATACTTGAAATCCATTTGTGTGTGTGTGTGTGTATGAATAATAAAAGTGGAACAAGAAAATGGGTAAAAAAGAACAACACGTGCCAAGATGCTGAGGAAGAAGAGAAAAATGTACCTTTGAGGTCCATTTATATTTATATATATATATATATATATATATACACATATATATTATGTATATTAGTATATATATATATACACACACACACATATACATAACAGTGGGTTTGGGGAATAATATATATTTAATATTTTAATAATATATGTTTGGGTTTATATATGTGTGTATATATATATATATATATTTTTTTTTTTTTTTTTTTTTTTAAGATATGGGGTCTCCGTCAGCCTGGCCAACATGGTGAAACCCTGTCTCTACTAAAGATATAAAAAATTAGCTGGGCATGGTGGTGCATGCCTGTAATCCCAGCTCCTTGGAAGGCTGAGGCACAAGGTATTGAGTCTCTCTGTAGCACAGTTTCTGTATACTTCATAAGCTTTTATCATTTATCTCTCACTTCTAAGTGAGAACATGTGATATTTAATTTTCTGTTTCTGCGTTAGTTTGCTAAGGATAATAGCCTCCGGCTCCATCCATGTTCCCCCAAAAGACATGATCTCATCCTTTTTCATGGCTACATAGTATTCTGTGGGGTATATACACCACATTT